CCAAATAAAATATGACACAGAAGTTGAGTATCAGAGACTAACGTGGATCAAATCATGGCAGGATTTAATGACATCTATTCCAGGTCCCCATTTTACATAAGAATCCATGGCATATTGTCACTGGCCTCTTCAGAAACACCCACAAGTCTGGGGGCTCATGAGTTCACAATGTAGCCCAAAGATTTTTTTTTAAAGCTGTTAGAATCTTCTTAATACAGATGCTTCATCCTTTGAAATTTTCCATAGATTCATCTTTGCTTGGCCCAACAGAGTATATCACAGAATAGTCAGAATTCCTAGCTTTTCAATATTTTATGATAGCCTTCATGCCTTCGCTTTTCCAGGTCTTTTCACTGGATTTTATAGAATAGAGCTACAATACCCAACTATCTCCCTTTCTTGTTTTTCTTTTCTTGCTGCTAGAGTTATACTTTGTGAAGGTCCATCTTAAAATGCAGTGCTCAGAATGACTACATTTAAATTTGGTCAGAATTAAAAATTATATGTTAATCACCTCCCTCCTTCATTACTACATTAGTTCAATTTAACAATTTATTAATGTTTGCAGCCAACTTCCACTACAAATACCAAACCTGTTACCAACAAAACCATGGTCATTAATCGTGTACTAAATTTTTGGACTCAAAACCAGAACTTTACATTTATATCTACTGCTGTAACATAGTATCATGACATCAATTATGTTAACGTGAATGCCTAGATTTGAGCCTTAGGTATGTCACCTTGAAAAATAGCAAGATACTCTATTTGCCTTTCTGCCAAAGTCATATTTTTTGGTTCATGCAGTACTGAGCTATGCTGACCTACAAGTCAATGTTTAAATTAGCCTATCTCAAGTCATCAGCTATTAATACTCAAGAATCCCCAATGAAAACTTTTTGTGTGGCAATTTATAGTTAAGAAAATTTGCCTAAGCTTTCATTTTTCACTTGTTTACTCTTGAAACTGGTTTTATAGAGATTATCTCTCTAAGAGTATTTCTTAACAGTTGATCATGCAGTAAGATTAAGTGGCTATTCAAATACAGGCAATGACATGCTCAACGCTGTCTTTGAGGCAGGACAAACAATGTATCAACAACAAACCTTTAGACTGATGTGACTATGCACTAACCATACATGCCACACATGAACTGTGCATGTGAACTACAAAACGTATGAAATCTCTTGTGGAAAACAAAGATACACTACTTTATTCGCCCTCAAGTTGTCCTCTTTCCAGAAACTTTTATCTCACTCTTCCCTCCTTCAGGACCATCATCTTCTTTTAAGCAAAGACAGAGAGTTCTGCAAGACCCCAGTTTTTCTAAGTCCTCATCGCAGCCCTCAACTGAGGCTCACCCAAACCAGGTTGGAGCTGACTGAGTTGTAACCAGCTGGCTTTTCCAACTCCTCCTCAAAAACACGCCCGCCCCCTAATCCGAAACCAGAGGAGAATCCAACCACAGAGAACTTCCACTTAAAAAGGGCAACCTCCGAGTGAAGAACATTCGCGTAACCACGTCTCTTCTTCCGACCCCTAACACTGGAACTCGCCGCTAGCGCAGCGCCTTCCTCGGGAGCCGCCTCCCACGGGCCGGCTCGGGGTGAGCGCCCGGGTTAGTCAGTGCGCACGTGACGCGCGGTGCCCACATGACACGGCCGTGGGCGGGGGAGGGGGACAGAGGAGTGAGGCAGGGAAAAAGTTAAGGGAGACCCGTCAAAGCGCCTGAAGCAGACTGCCCCTTCCCTTCTTTGTCAACTAGTGACTCAGGGATCCCCAGGGGATGGCTTCGGACTAAGGCGTCTTCAGTCAGTCTCCTGACACGGAGGGCGCAGTTCTCCGCTCGCCCAGCCACCCCCTACTCCTCCCCGCCCTGCTGGTGATACCGCTTCACCCTCAAGTTGCTCCTTCCTGCCCTTCCTCCCTCCTTCCTTCTCGTCCTCCTTCCTTCCCTAAAAGCGCTTCACCCACTGCGGGCCGTGCCGTTGACGCACATTCAATTGCTCCGGGAGCTTGCCCGCACCCCTGAGGTCAGACAAGGCCGAACACCTTCCAAAGGGGAGGGGATAACTGCGCAAAGTTGCACGCCACACAGCAACCCGTCCCACCCTTCCACTGAGCCCCCCATTCGGATCCCCGGCACAGCTCCCTCGCTCTGCCCTCACTCTCTCGACCTCCCCCACCGTCGCGTAACACACCCCCTTCCACACGCGAACCCACCCTTTCATTTTGCCCGGCGCTTCGTGCGGTCCAGCCTCCTGCCAAAGCACCGAGCCAGCCACTGCACTTACCTTGCTTGACACACTTGAGCCGGAGGGGGTCCTTGCAGTGTTTGATGACGGCCAGCACGTCTCTGATGGTGAGCCCCGCCACGGGGGTCTCGTTCACTTCCAGCAGCAGTTCCTCCGACACCAACTTGCTGCCGCTCTCATAGGCCACCTTGCCGGGCTTCACCTCCCCCAGGTAGGGGAACTGTCCGTTCTCGGCGCCCCCCTTCAGTTCAAAGCCCAGCTGGCCCTCCGGGTTCCTGCCAATGACACTCTCATGGACTTTGCTAGTCCAGTGGCTTTTCTTTTTCAAGCTTTTGGACATGGCAGTGGGGCGAGTCTCCTCAGCTCCTGAGGGGTTCCTTTGGGGTAGGGTGGTGAGAGAACGAGGATGGAGGAGCCAGGGGGGCAAGAGGTGAGAAGAGCAGACTTTGCCTTCCTCCCCCCTCAGTTCGGTGCTTTCCCTCTTCTTTGGATGGAGTATGGACGAGGAAGGGGGAGGATGACAGGGACGGCAGGGCAGAGGTAGGAGAGCTTGGGTGAGGTTGTGCTGTCCCTTGAATGACACTCAAAGCTGTGGCCCCGCAGCTGAGGAGAGCTGTGGTGGTGCTGGCGGCGGCGGCGGCGGCAGCCTGAGCGAGCAGTAGCCGAGCTGGTGAGCGGGTGGGGGTGGGGGTGGGGAAGGAGGGTAGGGATGCCGGGGGCCACTCCTGCGTGGTGCGAGTGGGAGCGCGCGCGCGCGCCTGTGTGTGTGTTGTTAGCTGATATCCATGGTAGCTGCAGTGGCAGCGGCAGGGTCCGCGCCTGTGTGTGTGCGCGGGTGTGTGTGTGTCTGTCTGTCTGTGTGCGCGCGTAATAGTTGTACTGTACTGGCAGGAGGGGAGGAGGCAGAGGAGGAGGGAGCGGGCTGGAGGGGGAGGGGCGCGCGCGCCGGGTGAGGAGCCGCTTCGCCACTGTCTCCGCACCCTCCCTCCGCAGCTTGACCCGGTAGTGAAGGCTGAGAGAGAGGCAGGCTGGGTCCGCCTGGCAGCCTACGAGAGGAGGCGGGAGCGGGAAAGGAGGGAAGCCGAGGCCCGGCGTGGGGAGGACGGCAGGAAGGGCTGCGAGTCCAGCGCGGACGGTTCTTCAGCTTCCCAGCGGCCGAGCGATGCTCTGGGCTGCTGCGCTGTGAGGACGCGCCGACTCCCTCAGACCTGGGCCGGGCCGGAGCCGAAATAGCGGAACCCGGACTTCTGCGCGCCCCAGTGTGCGGTCCGGCTCCAGCGCCGCCAGCCTCGGGGCTCGGGGTCCCGCCGTGAGAAAGAGCCGAGCTGTGTGTGGGACCTTCTCGTGGCGCACTCGCCGGAGAAGGCCTGGGCGCTGCGAGCTGTGGGGAGGCGTCGAAGTTCACAGATTAGACAGGCTTTGTCTCCTCACGTTTCAGTCAAACTCGTCTCAGAGTTCTCAGAATTTCCCCTCAGAGGAGCGGAAAGTTAGAGAAGTACAGGCTGCTTTTTCTGTCAACCGGGAGGGGAAGCAGCGTCCCGGCCTCGGGTGCAGACCCGGCCACCGCGTGCGGCCAGGACGGGAACTCAGCTGAGAGGCACGGTTGTCCGGTGAAAGGCGATTCTTGGCACCGAGGGGAAAGGGCTTCTCTTTACCTAGTTAGGAGAAGCGGGAAGAAAGGGGCTGCGGGGTGGGGGTGGGGCTGGGGGCGGCCGCGCTGAGCAGCCTCCTCGCAGAACTGGGCAGTTTCACGCGGGAACTGCGGCGAGACCACGGGGCACGCCCTCGCCCCGAGCGCCCTCAGAGCCGGGCTGCTACCTGGGGAGAAACCCTAAACTGACCTGGCCCGTCAGCCTCCTGCTACATTGAAGGAAAAGAAGGCTTCAAGAGTGAACAGAGCGGCAGAACCCGGGCTAGAACTCAGCTCCCTGGCTTGCCACCAGGCTCCTTCCTCTTCATCAAGTTTGCAGCTGGGAGGAGAGGTGAGGACTGGGGTGCAAGGATGCAGGACGGCCGCTGGTTTTCACGCAGGCACTGGTTTCGTGTGAGACGTTAGGAATGACTTTTTAAATTCCTGTAACTGGTAAATAAGTTTCATTTGCTTTACTTTCAAATGATACTTTTGAGACAAAAAATAAAAGTTGCACACCCACTCATCTCTTTAAAGCAAAGCATGAAAAGCACTGAGCAGTTAGAATTCTTGGTGTCTGAGATGAAGACAGTGTGGGAGGCAAGCGGAACAGTTAAAAATGTTTAATCGACCCAAACAGAAGACCAGGTTTGAATTCAGACTCCGCTACTTAGCAAGAAGAGTGTAATATTGAGTAAATTGCTTGACCTTCCTGAGCCTCAGTTTCCTTATTTATTAAATAGGATTAAAAGTACTAATCTGTTAGGAATATGATGAGGATGAAATCAGGTAATACGTGCAAAGTGCTTGCCTGGCATATGTGGGTAGGCACTCAAAATGATAATTTCCTCATTTTTCCCTCTCTAGTATAACTCATTGTTTGGGGAAGTGGGGGATCAAAGCTAGTCAGAACTGGAAAAGAGCTTAAAGAAAGATGATTTGTTTAATCATGTGTCTTTTCACTTGAGAAAACGGGTCCCCCGATGAATTGGCTTTGATTAATGAGGGTTATTCAGTGAGCCAGAGGCAATGCCAGGATCTGAAGCCAGAGATGCAGACAATGCCCAGGAGTGGGCAAGTCTTTTTGTATCACACAGAGAAGTTGCGTTTTAGCATTATAAGACACAGTTCTAAGTGGAACTTGATAATAGTGAGAACTGGATTTTTAAGCCTGTTACAAACTAACATGTAAGGGTAAATACTGTTTATAAAATTCTTTTTTATTATTTATCTTTTTTAAACACTTATTACACGTTGTTCTATAGTCTTCACATATATTTACTTATTTCTCCTGACATCTCAGTAAAATACGTACCATTATCATCCCCTTTTACAGACAAGAAAACTGAGGCATACAGAGTTTAATTTTTGCAAGGCTGCAGATTTAGTCAGTGGTGAGGCTAATACTCAGACCCAAGTGTTTTGGCTCAAGACCTGGTCTCAGTCACTGTGTTGTACACTCTTCCATGCAATAACCATGTATATCGTACATAGTGTCTCCAGAGGTTGGGTCTGCATTTTATTGTAGGGGTAATTATGGAAAAAGAAAACAAATGGAGCAGGAATTTGGCATAAAAGCATTTTACCCTCAAGAATCCAGGAGAGGCACTGAGGTGTGTGCCAGCTAATTTAGTGTTTCACAGCTCCTAATTCATCTTCTTTCCTCTGACTTGTGATATTAGAGCTGGAACCTGTAAACATTTCTTTGTTGCCAGTTGGCACGTTAGCTCTTGCCAATAGAAGGTGCTAGAGGGACA